TTTAGTTTTCTTTGGGGTTGCCGGAGCACTGCATATAGAAAATACAGTGCTTACAGCGACTCCTACCTCTTGGGAGATATGACGAAAAGTCCACTCAGCATGGTTGCGCAAGGCTCGGATTTTGGAACGTAGTGAAGCTGTGATAACGGTAGGATATGAAGCTACTCTGGGACTGGGAGAAAGAGTTCTGGAGCTAATAGAACTTGGAGAAGGGCTCGGAGGAGCAGGATATGTGGTAGCTTCCTCCATCTCAACTCTGTCTTTTTGGATTTTTTTTTCAAACTTTAACAAATACTTCATTATTTATGCTTACTGTTTGGGCGGAGCGCCTTGATTACTTTCCTAAAAAAATTAAGCTTTTTCACTAGAGATACAAGTACACTGTTGGTGTTGGTGTTTCTAAGGTCACGATACCACAATGTGTTGCTGTTCGGTGTTTTTCCTCTGCTGACCACCCTCTCCAGATTTACTTGGCAACCCTTGTACGAGAACATCTTGCCTGGTGCTTGTACAAGTGCCAGGGGAGATGTCTTCGTACAAGACAGGGATTGTTTTGCGGGTTAACCTAAATTAACTGTGCGAAAACATTATCCCTGGCACTTGTACTGTACTTAGGGGTGAGCGTAAGTGGGGTGGAAAAAACAAAAGTGGGGAGAGCTTGTTACCTAACCGGATTTTAACCGACCAAGGTTTGGTGAGTGTAACCATAGAAACTGCCTGAGGGGGAAAGGAGTGAGGCGAACTAGGAATGTACCAACCCTAAAGCTTTCTGTTCTCTCATTGGCCGAGTGACCTTGATCCTCGTACAAGTACCAGTATTAGGGCGTGAGATTGCATTTTACACAGAATTTTGGATAACATCGTAAGATACGGTACAAATACGGTACAACATTCCAAAATATGTAAGGGTGCGTCTGGTTGCTATGGAAAACCTTCATTTTGAGCCCGATTACAGAGGTTTTCAGCAAAACTCTATTTTGCTTTGGAGTGGCATGTCTGGTTGACACCAAGACACAACATTCAAACCGTGATAATGAGTCCAAAACAAAAGTTTCCAAAAAATATAGGTAGAACCTATTTTTTTTTACAAAACTTCATAATGAAAAGTCTTCCAAGATGTACTCGACGATTTTTGAAGTCTCCGGAATGGGAAATGAATAAGTGATGCACTGATGGCATAACTACTGGCTTCACCTCACCGATATTTGCAGGAACTTACAGTAACTTGGCACAGGGCTCGTAACCTACGTTCCGGAGACTTTAAAAAACGCCGAGTACATAGGCATTACAACACCACCACTCCCAACAATAGACAATGGGGAAATAATAAAAAACAGATAACCAAGCCCAAATGCCTGTATTTTCCTCCCAATATTTTTTTTTAACTTTTTATGAGTAACTTTTCTTAGGTTTGTTTTCATAGTATCATACCCATGATGATTGCCATGGACAAAGTACGAGTACATTTCTTGGCTTCACTCTCTGTGTCAACCAGACACACTGCCTTGCTCCAAATTTTTTCAGATTATGCTAACTTGTGATAACTACAGTTGGTGGGTGCAACTTGTGTTTTGCATTTTTAGCATTTTAGAAACCCGCGGGCATCTTGTTATTATGGAATAGGTATATTTGGTTGCGCTAACAAGTATCATATCATATTGTACCTCTTTCGAACCCTCGAGTCCGGTGCTTGTGCCTCGAACGGGTCTGCTGTAGTCTACATACTGGCACCGTGAATCATTGTGAAGGTGCTTACTGTATGTTACGAGTACGAGCGCCCGATAGATATAGCCATCACGCGAAGTATGATAGGAAAAAGCACCACATCGTTTTGGTTATCATATATCTATCAGCGGCACTCGCCCTCGAGGACCGGTATCACATTGTATCTCGTACTGTACCCGAGTACTGTATCATAAATTTACCTTACTGTGCTCAAGAGCCAACACAACCAGCTTCCCATAGTCTAAGGCTTTTCCAGCAAGGTTCAAGAATATTTTTTACACTACCGGTACCGGTATTTGATCGATTGGAAGAAACTACCCCTATTTTTCCCTATCCGTGCGCTCGAGAGTACAAATTGCCTACTATAGAAATTCCCACGAAAAAAAAATTGTACAGTGCGTTGTCCAAGCTCCATTAGACGCACTGTTTAATGACGGGGAGAGGGAAAGAAAACGCAAGAAATTGCTAGTACTTCGAGGTAACCCTTCGCTTTGCTTCCTCATCGCTCACCTTGTGCAGCATTATCTTGTTCGGGTATGTTGGAGTGTTGTATTGGTGGCCTTTGCTCCAGTCGTAGCTGACCGCGTAGGCGAAAATCGTGCCATTTCTATTGAAGCTGGTGGCGGAGATTATTCCACCGACATGAGGAAAGCCTTTGATTCTAGTTCTGGAATCTTTGTCCCAATAGTGGAAGGTTCCATCAGCGCCGGCGGTGGAGAAGGTTCCATGAACGGGATGGAAAGAGATGGCATTCACTCCGTAAACGTCGGTGTCGGTGCCTCCGGTTCTAGCTCTTCTGTGGCATCTGAACGAGAACTCCGACCTGATGGGGGAGGAAAATCAGCACTCATCCCCCGTTGATGATGGGATGGTCCGGAAAGAGGAAAAAAAAACTTACGAAGAATTTTTGGCATCGAGATAGACAAAACCGCATTTCCCCTCGATACCGCCGATCGCAACGCCCGAGGCATCCGGGAAACAGGTGACCACGCGGGTCTGCCACTTGAGCGGACTGATCCTCGATTGGAAAACGGTCCCCGGGTTTTTCAAGTTGATGACCTGGATATGCCTCTCTGCGGTCCCTACGGCCAATAAGTCCCGAGAAACATCCATAGTATAAACCCGTTCGAGCAATTCCACTGAACCAGCGGGCCGCTGCTGCCTTAGGTCCCAGTACTTGATTGTCTTATCCCACGATCCTGTGATCACCATTTGAGCGTTAGCTCCCGGCAGAGTGAACCAGCGAACAGAGCGGATAGGATCATCGTGGGCGGCGACCTGAGCGCTTTGGCCTGTAGCGGCATCCCACAGTCTCGCAGCATTATCGGCGCCTCCTGAGACGAGTTTACCGCCATCCTACGATTAGGAAAGACATGTCAGTCCCGATTGCGAGAGAAGATGGTGGGCTAGTTTAGATACATTTGACCAAGCTACACTAAGAACGGGCCCTCCATGTGCGTAGATTGCTCTGCCAGAATTCGCCCCTGTCTGGGAAACATCGTAAATGCGAACTCTCTTGTCCCAGCTAGCGACCGCCAAGAGATCCGACTTCATGGAGAACTCTAGGTCCGAGATGCTGTCTTCCGGAGGTGAAGACAATGTTATATCGGCACTAACATCTCCTAGACTACTAGTGGTGTTGGGGGCTCTGGTGGAAGTAGGCCCGGGATTGTTTGTGGGGTAAGGCATTGCAACAGTTACTCGCCGTAACAGCGGAGAGGGGCTTTCCCTATTTAGAGCAGTATTTAGAGCAGGCGTATTGAGTGAGGGGCTGTTGAGGTGTGTGATACCCGCAGAAAGAGATAGGGAGAGAGGAAATGATTTTAGTTAAAAGCTCTAGAAATTTGGAGGAGCTTCCAGCAGGGAAACGCGCGGAGTAGTGGCGCGACCAACCCATGGATGACGGCGGAGCGGCTGGATAAAGTCTACCTTTCCCTCTTTGCTTCTTTGCTCTCCCGGGGGAAGGGCTAAAGTCATAGGGCTCTCGAAGTGACGTCTGGATTCACAATTCATCACTCGTTATGGGGCTCCTAGCTCTCGCGGATTCGCCCATCTAGACCTTTGAACCATGACTCGTTCCTTTGCCCAGAACCTTACAAAAAGGCCCTTTCCGGGAAGAAGAAGAAATAAAAATCACAGGCTCCCAGAGTTCATGGGTGGGTGAAGTGCAAAAAGAAAAAAAAAGAAAGGGCTTTCGAGTTCTAGACCCACATATTCCGCCTATGGGCCATTTTTACCGATCCTGTCCACCCAGTAAGAAATCATGTCTACAGTACCCTGCCGGTGTCGTGCCCCACAACCATGCCCAGCCCTACGACCGGGATTTACTTTCCAGGGTATGATAGAACATACGGTATCATACTTGCAGTTTCGGTCTCTAATTTTCCATGGGCATTATGAGTCACGGGCGCAGAGCGCGCCACTTATATAGGAGGTCGAACCCGGTACAACGCCGTGCCGGTGAGGTCGGAGACGGGAGCGATATCGTGTCATATCATACCAACGGTACGGGATCGGCTGTCGTTAGCGGTAGAGTTTAGTGTCTCGTCTTTATTTATGCCGGCTGTCCCCCCCCCCCCCTCCACCGTCTAAGCTAGCCCGTATGGCAAAAGATAGTATACAGTAGCATTACTCATCGCCAAAGACCTCTCCTTGACCGCCAACTACCCGCCCCCCCTTGGGATCAGAAACTAGCTTGGCCCTCTCGGCCTCTGGAACTTTGGCTGGGTCGACCTTTCTCTCACTGCCGTCAACTACCGCAGGGGTTTTCAAGCCAATAGGTTGGGGCATGGATGGGAGTAGAGATCTCGATGTCTCGCGTTGCTGCAATGACATTAGGGGCCGATTTTCGGAATTATGGATGGGATTGGAAACACTCACCTGTTGAATGAGAACAGCATCCATGATGACCAAAGCCGCCATAGCCTCAACAATGGGGACCGCTCTGGGGACGACGCAAGGGTCATGCCTCCCTTTAGCGGCCAACACGCCGGGGGTTCCATCGTATTTGCTGGTGGACTGGTCGATGCCAATTGTGGCGGGCGACTTGAAAGCGACCTTGATGTAAATATTCTCTCCATTGCTGATGCCGCCCTGGACACCGCCCGAGTTATTGGTCGTGGTGCCCAACCTTCCATTCGTGTCGGGCGCGGAAGAAAAGGGATCATTGTGAATAGATCCCGGCATCTCAGTGCCCTTGAATCCCGAGCCAATTTCAAAGCCCTTGGTTGCCGGGATTGAGAGCATAGCATGCGCAAGCTTTGCCTCGAGCTTGTCGAAACACGGCTCACCAAGGCCGAGGGGAACGTTCTTGATGACACAAGTGACGGTCCCTCCGATGGAGTCGCTCTTGTCACGATATTCCGCAATCAACTTGGCCATTTTGTCGTTGGATTCGGTGTGGGGACATCGAACCGGCAGGAAGGTGTCCACCTTCTCGCGGGTGAGGTCCGAAAGGAAGGCAATGTATTCGGGAGAGGTGTGATCTAATGACCCTGGAATATGGATGGGTCCGACACTCGATACAAAAGCCACGATTTCGGTCTTGTAGGCCAAGCCAAGATACTTTTCAGCAATGGCGCCGGCTGCAACGCGGCCTACGGGAAAGCGTGTTAGCAGCCATCCAAAAGGCTGCTTGGCCATAGCCCCGAGGAGCGACTAGGGGGCCCCTCCGCGAGATAACGTACCGATGGTTTCCCTGGCGCTACTTCTACCACCTCCCGAGCTAGCCTTGACGCCGTACTTCATGAGATAGGTGAAATCGGCGTGACTGGGCCTTGGATACAAGTCCATCTCAGAATAGTCATGTGGCCTCTGGTCCTGGTTCTGCACCATCAAGCCGATCGGTGTCCCAAGTGTATACCCGAATTCAGTTCCGGACTGGATCTGCACGCTATCCTTTTCATTACGGGGGGTAGTTAGTGACGACTGGCCGGGACGACGACGAGAGAGCTGAATCTGAATATCGGCTTCGCTCAATGCCATTCCCGGAGGAACACCATCGACGATACAGCCGACCGAGCGGCAGTGGGATTCACCGTAGCTGGGGCGGTGTCAGTCTTTGGCTCGTTGCCCCCTCGGGTCGTGAAGCGGGGCAGTCTCGATAGGAGGGTTTGTGGAGGAAGAAAAGGGTATGATACTTACGTAGTAACGCGAAATTGGGACCCAAAGGTGGACATGATTTGTCTGGAAGGCTTGGAGAGAACTGTGGGTTGGTTGGGGAAGGATGAAACGGAAGTGAGGGCTTTTCCTCCCCTTATGATATTGCAGTGAGGCAACTAGCGACAATGTGGGGCAAGCTGGAAGCGGAACCTGGCCGACGGGAGTACGGTACAATACGGTATTTGCTCCTCGTAGTACGATAATGGTACGAGGGCGCCGAGCGAGTATTGTATTATGCAGGGCAGTAACTCACCGCACGATTAGCCAGCAAATACCAACTCGGGCAAAGTCACCGCTAGAATGGGTTTTTATCCGGGAAAATGTGGAAGTTCTCCGGGACGGTACAGTACGGTACAGCGCTGCTGCGGTACAGTGGCAACCACTCTGGGGGTTTGGCTAATTATGATGGCCATTTCTGCTTGCACCCTTCACCGATTCCTCTGTTTGCCCTGCATGCCGGAAACAAGGCTCCGGCGGAGCGGCCAGCGCGCGGAATGTGCCAATCATTCTCCCGTGATGTGATGCGGGCAACTGTGGTGTGGACTGCCGGCAGAGGAGTTCGAGTCTCTTGGTCGTCGAGGGGCGCGGTAAGCGAAAGCCAGACAGTAGTCTACAGTAGACAAAAGGTGTCAACACCTTGGTAGTCCGTCCGTCAACCGTCGGGAGGTAGACCGGTTAGCCCAGATGTACTCGAGTATCACGTGCTCCTGAGGGGGATCAGAGCGATCTGTCGGATTGAAAATTCTTCACTTCTCGAAACCTTCTTGGAACAGGGCTTCATAATTTCTACAAAAATGCCCCTGGTCACTTTGGGATGGACGGTGCGCCAACCATCAGCGCGGTGCCGCATCCGCGACCCGATTGACCAAGCGAAACCCAAGATCGTCGAAATGTGATAAAAAGCAAGTGGGGGGGGGGGGGGAAGTTCGGTCCTCGAGCAACCACGGCACCAAGCTACTAATGGAGCTGCTAGGTCCCGGAGGCTTCATTGCAACTCCAGTACCGTACTCGAGTGCAGGGTAACTGAAGCTCGCGCTAGGACATTGGAGTTGCCATTGCTGGTGGGGTCCGGCTCTTTTTTTGGTTTTCATTTTTTTCCGTCGCCCTGCAAGTATCCAGGAGAGGGAATATTGGACGTCTTAGCGGGAGGCTCGATTGTTCGAGTTAAATCTAAGTTTCGGAGGGCTAGCTCTAATGCCGGAACAGCAACGGGATTCAGCGTTACTGCGAGTTGATCCTTGAGTCTTATGCGTAGAAAATACCGGCATCATCATACGTTGTGCATCATACCCGTACCTTTTGCCAAAAGTCGGCTTGGAGACTTGGGCAGCCGAGCCAACTGGAGGGCAGGAAGACCTCCGGGCCACCATACTCTTAGCAAACGGAGAAAGGTGATTGGGCAGGCTCGCCCTGCAGGAAGCCCGGATCTCGCTTTTACGAAAAGATGCCGTATTGGTACGTATCGATGCAGCGTACTCACTTGCACTCCTGGAGCATCCGAACCCGCAGAGACCAGGTGTGCGGGCTACAGCTTGGAGAGGAACCTTTGGCCGGAAATAAGCGGTGCTTCGTGATGTCGGACGCCGGTTCCAATCCATACTTTTTTTCACTCAACCACCATTCGAGTCTGGAGAGCTAGGCTCGGGCGAGTAATTATTGGGGTTTCGATATTGTCGACCTAGATGCACCTCTGGGGGATCAGGGTGTGGCATTGGACGATGCACTCGGGTATATGGTATAATGCGAATTTGTTGGTACGAGGAATTCGCTGCTGAGATGCAGACTTCTCACCCAAAGACGGCTGACTTGCACGCTCTGTGCGCCCTGTAAGTCAGTGGCCTCTACGCAGGGGGCCGTCGGTTGGTGATGATTCCAGTGTTGCCCTTTTCAAGTCTCCCATTGTCGTTGAAGCCGGGGCACACACTAGCTAGTCCGTCGGCCAATTGGAGAGCATCGCTGGAAGTGATGTGCTCTTGCCACAACACTGCTTCCGGCGTGTAGTTTTTACCATTCTCACGCTTGCTCCCTCCCTCTCTGCGGCACGGCGAATGCTAGCTGACGCTATGGAGCATACGTCAGCTCCAAAGGCGTCTATACCCTGAGGATTTATTCACTTGAGGCGGGGGAAGCTTCCCCACAGGAGATAAATAGGGGCGGTCCCCCCGTCCTTTCCCTTTCAACTCCAAAGCTCCCCACAAACTCCACTCGACTACAACAGCAGCTACAGCAACAGCCACTTCACTCTTCACACCCATACGCTTCTCCGATATTCACCCTCAGCAAAATGACCTACCGCAACACTTCACGTAATCCGGTCTTGATCAACGGTGGTCGCACCCTTCGTGCTGAGTGCCAGAAGATTGACGGTGGCTGGGTCATTTCTGAAATCGATCTCAATGCCTGTATCGGTAACCTAAATGGTTTGTAATTTTCTTCGACCTGTGCTGTTCCAGGGTTCCTTACCCCACCGGAGAACTCTCGGTGAGACAGACAAACACCTGATTGCGCAAACGGAGATAACTAGGTGATGACTGTTAGGATTCCTTGCATGGGACATGCGAAATTTCAGCGATACGGCTGAGGATATTCTCCTCGAGGAGGATGGACGTAAGCTCACTTGCATGGTCAGAAAGGTGGATGGTAGGCACCGCGAAAGGCAGGGTATCTACTTGGATAAGATTCACAATTTCAACGGTGTGCTTACTTATCGTATGCTGGATCCAGTCTCCCTTGAATCAGTTGGTGCAGCTCGTGTTGACTACTTTTGAACAGGTTACGATTAAATAGCCTTGCCCGAGAAGTTAAGTTTACATGGCGGGCTGCGGTGTGAGGATGGCGTGAGGGCGGTATTTGAGGGATGGTTGGTTTAGATGGAACGGGGGCGCTATGCCAATGATCGATCGATGGGAAATGAAATTAAATTAATTGTAAATGAAAATAAAAATGGAGCTGTTAACACATGCTCTATTCCCGAGATTTATGACCCAAAGAGTATCTATATAGGCCGGCGTGGTTGTGTGAACGATGCCTAACTTGTCGTAACTGTTGTATTGCTCCCATTCTGGATGTCTGTACCGTACTGATACTGTGTGTACCGATGTCGTAGCTGGGAAGGGGGCACCATATCACGTTGTGTCACTCGTTATCGGGCGGCAGGGGACATGGTCCAGTAGAATGATTATGTTGTGTGGTATGATGTCTGTTCGGTGGTCTTCCGCAGAGGCGAAGGCCTACTCGTGGGGACAGTCAAGGATTAACACTGCTCGGGCTTTGTCTAATGTCAGCCTCTCCGTATGGGCACTAGTATGTTTGTTCGTCATATGTGATCAAAATGTCACTGAATACTGAGCCTCGTGCCCGTTGAGCAACATCTAGAACTCTTGGCGCCAAGCCTCTTTTATGGGAAGGAAAAAAAAAAAAGGGTTTTAAGCCGCAACTGGGAAACTCTCCTCCGAATTCCTTCAACATCTCCGGTGTGGCATCATGGACCAATTAAACAAGACTCACCGTAAGCCAAAGGAGAAGAAGAAATTTACGGGTGAGCTCAATCGGTCGTTCATTGGGTTCAATTGCTAATAATCGTTCAGGACGGAACCCCAAAGCGTTCGCCTTTGCGAACCCCGGAAAACTTCAGAAGCAGGCAACAAGATCTCACGATGTACGTTATGTATCTGTAAAGACAGGACGAATTAGTAGGGAGTGGGGCACGGATAACTGATTGCTTTTGGCGGGGATGGATAGGTCAAGGAAAAGCGGCTACATGTCCCCATGGTGGACCGACTCCCGGAGGAGCCACCACCATTAATCGTTGCGGTCGTCGGTCCTCCGGGCGTGGGTAAAACCACCTTGGTAAAGTCACTGGTGAAGCGGTACACCAAGCATACACTGTCCTCGATCCAAGGGCCCGTCACCGTCGTCACGAGCAAGAAGCGTCGTCTAACCTTCCTGGAATGCGACAATTCGCTCGCTTCCATGATTGACATATCGAAGATTGCGGATATTGTCCTGCTTCTGATTGACGGGAACTTTGGCTTCGAGATGGAGACTATGGAGTTCTTGAATGTGATTGCTGCGCATGGGTTGCCGTCCAATATCTTTGGCATCCTTACACATTTGGACCTGTTCAAGTCACAGTCGGTACTGCGCACTACGAAGAAGAGACTGAAGCATAGGTTCTGGTCGGAGCTGTATCAGGGCGCCAAGTTGTTCTACCTGTCCGGGGTGATCAACGGACGGTATCCCGATAGGGAAATACACAATTTGAGCAGGTTTATCTCTGTTATGAAGAACCCACGGCCGTTAGTGTGGAGGAGTTCACATTATTACTTGTTGGCGGATAGGATGGTTGATTTGACGGACCCTGTGGCGATAGAAGACGATCCAAAGGTTGACCGGAAGGTTGCGTTGTATGGGTATGTTCGTGGCCTGAATTTTCCGAATGAAGGGGCTCGGGTACATATTCCTGGTGTGGGAGACTTGTCTGTCTCTAGTGTCGAATCGCTACCGGACCCTTGCCCTACACCCGCGAGGACTGCTGCGGAAGGGAAGGGCAGGAAGAGGTTGGGCGAGAAGCAGAAGCTTATCTATGCCCCTATGAGTGATGTTGGTGGTGTCTTGGTCGATAAGGATGCTGTATACATCGATGTCCCCTCGCAGAATTTTGAGGAAGGAGCGGAGGGGCAGGGAGTGGGGGAGAGATTAGTCATTGGATTGCAAAAGGGCAAGAGAGGAGAGGCAGATGGTGTCAGGCTTTTCACAGACGGCGAGGTGCTGAAACAAGTTCAGTGTGATGATGGGGAGAAAGGAGATGTTGGCCGAAAACATAAGAGAAATGTCAGAGCTTTACAGCCAAGCAGAGACGACACAAATGCAGAAGGTTACAATGGCGGAGGCGGAGGCGAAGACGAGGAGATGGACGATGTGGGCTTTGCAACCGGGGACGAGGACGAAGATGCGAGTGACGATGAGGGCATCACATCAGAATCCTTTGAGCTGGGGAAAGCTCTACGAGGGAATCAGGGTGAAGGGAGTGTCAAAGACGACATCACTTTTGCTGAAAGCGACTCTGAATTCGACGAGGACGATCTCCCATCGGACGAGGATGAGGATGACGACGACACCCCCCGTTGGAAGCATGACCTTTCAAACAACGCAAAAAAACTGTGGATGAAGTCACATAGTACGGTCAACCTCAGTAAACTAATATACGACGAAGCCCTTACTCCCACTGAAGTTGTTCAAAAATGGCGAGGCGAGTACGAGCCAAAGTCACAGAGGAGGTCTAAGAATACCAGTGATGGGAGTGACGGCGAGGAAGATTTCTTCAAGAAGGTCGAGGATGATGATAATGATGATGATAGCAAATCCTCTGCTAAGAGGATTGCGGATCGGAGTTTGCCAACTTACGATATGGAGAAACTAGGAAACTACTGGAGTGAAGAACCTGCGATAGAGGATCTGAGAAGACGGTTTATCACTGCGAACCTGCTAGAGGAGAAGGAGAAGGCTGAAAGGGAAGATGGCGAGTTTGCCGGTATCGGTGATAGTGATGACGAGGGAGACGGTGTTTTCGAGGATTTAGAAACCGGGGAAATGCATGGTGGGAGTGTGGGAGAGGTCGGTGGTGGTGAGAGCGATAGGCATGATAGTAAAGGGGATGGCGAGGAAACTTCCCTGGAGAAAGAGCGTGAGAAGAATGCCCGAAGGAAGGAGGAGCTTAGGCTTCGATTTGAGGAGGAGGACCGGGAAGGTATCAACAACGACAAGAGCGGCGATGGCAAAGATGGCGAGGAATTCGGAGAAGATGATTGGTACGATGCTCAAAAGGCGAAATTCGCGAAGCAACTGGCTGTCAACAAGGCTGAATTTGAGCAATTGGATGATGCCACTCGGGTAAAGGTTGAGGGCCATAGAGCCGGAACATATGCTCGAGTAGTCCTTTCAAACACCCCATACGAGTTTGTCGCTCACTTTGACCCAAAGTACCCCGTCCTTGTCGGTGGTCTCACCGCCACTGAAGACCGCTTCGGCTTTCTACAAGTGCGAATTAAACGACACAGATGGCACAAAAAGATTCTCAAAACCAACGATCCACTAACCTTCTCTCTGGGCTGGCGTCGATTCCAAAGCATCCCTATCTACTCAACCTCTGACTCCCGAACCCGGAACCGAATGCTGAAGTATACCCCGGAGCACATGCACTGTTTCGGCACCTTCTACGGCCCATTGATCGCTCCGAACACAGGTTTCTGCGCGGTCCAATCTCTCTCCTCCAAAAACCCTGGCTTCCGCGTCTCCGCAACTGGCGTCGTCTTATCCGTCGACCAATCCACTGAGATTGTCAAGAAGCTAAAGCTTACTGGTACGCCTTACAAGATTTTTAAAAATACCGCCTTCATAAAAGACATGTTCAACTCCTCCCTTGAAGTCGCCAAGTTCGAGGGTGCTAGTATAAGGACTGTATCGGGAGTCCGCGGTCAGATCAAGCGAGCGCTATCCAACTCAAAACAAGACGGACGCTTCCGGGCAACCTTCGAAGACAAAGTCCTCATGAGCGACATCATCTTCCTTAGAGCATGGTACCCAATTAAACCGCGAAAGTTCTACAACCCCGTAACAAACCTCCTAACAGGTGTCACACGCCCGGACGCTCCAACATGGAACGGTATGCGCACAACCGGCGAGGTCCGCCGGGAGCTCAATATCAAAACCCCCATGATCGCTGACTCGACATACAAACCCATCGAGCGCTCCACCCGCCGTTTCAACCCACTGCGCGTGCCAAAGGCTATACAAAGGGAACTTCCCTTCGCCTCCCAAATCCACCAGATGAAACCGAGGAAGCGGACTACTTACTTGGCCTCTCGCGCGGTAGTGGTGAATAGTGAAGAGAGGAAGGCCCGGGATCTTATGCACAAGATTGCCACGCTGAAGAAGGAGAAAGAGGCAAAGAGGCACGAGGCAAAGGAAAAGAAGAGAGAGGTCTATAGGAAGAAGGTGGCTGAGAATGTGGAGATGAAGGCTGCGAGGGAGAAGAAGGAGCGGGATGAGTATTGGGCGAAAGAAGGGAGGAAGAGGAGGAACACTGAGAGTGCTGGAGGTGGCGGGAGGGGAAAGAGGAGAAGGAGTGGGGATGATTAGAGGGGTTGTACAGTAGGTGTGCATGTATGATACCGGTGGCGAGGGATGATTGTGTTTACGACTGATAGTTGAAATAACTGGTCAATGGTTTGATAATTTATTCCCCCTACGAACGTTTTTGGCGCCATCTAATAAGTAGAATCTGATGGCAGCCGTATGCAGGCACCATTTTAGTGTTTGATAGTATTTGGATAAATCTGAGGAAGATGTGTGTAGAGAGCCTAACCGTAGCCCTATTTTCCGATACCTGGTGTGAAGCCAATTGGGGGGAATAGGGGCTGTTCAGGGCGCAACTACTGCACTGTACGGTACAGACACGCGAGCGAGAATAATGGTGATGGTGTTGAATTAAACATACCAGTGTGGCGGAGGTAGACTCGAATAACAGATACTAGTATACCAGCCTGCAAGTACCCCAATTTACTAACTGCACCGGTACTGTACTTTAACTCTCGCGGTATTGAAGTGGTCGAAGGGAATTTTCATCAATTTAAACACCAGCCTTCTTCCAGCACTTCTCTTTCGGGCAATGAGGGGCTCGAGGGCCCAACCTGTGAGCACAAGGTGAAAACGTATCAATAAAGAAGCCGTAGTAGGGGCACAACTTGCTGCCGATATATATCCGGTATGATAGAAGGGTATTATATGATACCTGTAGCTAGTAGGAAGGTTAACCTACTTTGGCTGGGCAAAAAAACGGATTAAACGAATGAGAAGGGTGAATTTGGATTTTGGACTACTTGCGGTTTGTAAAAGAAGAGCCCGGTTCTCTGCAATGATGATTAGCGTACGGTAGCATACGGTATGGGGAAAGTGATGTTGCTATTTAGATGATCGAAGCCCTGAAGACACAGATCGTCACTCGCTCTCCCAACTGCCCCCCCCCCCCCGACCCTCCTCCGAGGCTGCAGACACTGGATGATGCGTAAGACGGAACGGATGGGGGGTTTGGGAGGTGGAGGGGGGATCGTGGGGTGGTAGGTGGAGTAAGGCGAAGTATACTAGAGGAAATGGAGGAAGCTCCAGGAGCGGAATGGTTTAACGGACTGATAAAAATCGGAAGGGAAGGGACAATGTCCGTATATCTTGTTGGATCGTCTGTTCTGGCGATTAATCGAGCATGGATTACACTAGATGGGTCTGATATCATACAAACTTCCCGCTAGGTCCTTGCATCGCTGGGTCTGGTCGGGTGAAATATTTGTCTTCTTTAGGTCGGGTTGGATCCAGGGGATGGCCGCAAAAGAGAGAGTGTACGGTAGGTTGATATCGTCCGATGGGTGAAGAAAGGGGTATATCGGTAGGGATTTATGTGCTTAATAGGTAGCTTATGAGTACGGTAGCCTCATAACCGAGATACCTTTGAAGGGTAACCATCTCCTGGATAACATCGCTATTGCGATCACCTTCTAGGCTATTGCGGTCGGGGTTGGGTTCTCCCGCCCCCCATAGCCCCCAAGGGGATTTCCCAAACTTCACTGCTAACCAGTCGAGCTCGTCCCCAACGGGTAGCCTCATGGCTCGCGGTCGTTTAGACATATTTCGGCGAATCTAGGTTCTCACGGCCGTACCATTATAGCCAACTGCGAGATGGAGTCCCGGACTAGTGAAGAGAGCGGATTCCAACAAACTGGGTGACAAAACCAGCGATACTGATGAAAGATCCAACAATGGCAAGATTACCAAGTGAGCAAGTCAAATAAACTTCATACTTGGTACGTCTTGAACTCCCCGAGGGCGATGTGCAAGGCCTACGGCGAGTTGTGATGTGCTTCTTGCGTCTCCCATCTCCAAATAGTGCATATGAATCGAAGAGCTGATCATTGACCCGTGCACTCTTTTGCAACCATAAAATCTTAAAGTCACTGTCAGCCACCCATGTGTTCTCTTCGGATGAGGCCTTCACTACGTGCAAACATGCCATCATCCCTATGACTAAAATCGGGGTCCCGGATGCCATAAGGGGGTAGGCGTATTTCGAATTTTCGTCCTCCTTCGGATTTATCTTGGGGTGGTAGCGGGAGACTCCAATAAAGATCAAAGAACTGAACTGGAGAATAATGCCTAGAATAGCAAATAGCCATAGCTCTCCCAGATTCTTGGCTTTACAGAAGTTCAAGGATATGTTTGAGGCCCTGGTGGGAGTATTATGTCTCGACGGAGTGGTGGGAGTCGGTGGTTCCTTGTGGTTCCTTCTTCTAGACTTGCGCTCCCTTGCGGGAATGGCGAGTTCGGCATCCGCGCTCGCTGGGACTGGGTGTGCGAAGGGGCTTCTAAAGAGGGATATAAGTGGAATAAGCGTGTCCAGTGGAACCACCTTTTCACGCATTGCCCCCGGGGGTGCGGCCTCCTCCGCTTTGGGCGGATGATCCTTCCTCCTTTCTTTATCGTTTCTTAGGATCTTATTTTATATAGCCGTCTTGAATGTGAATAACTTGGGTCCACTCTTCCCACCCTTCCCATCCGCCGTATCCGCCTCATCTTCGAAATAGAGAATCTGAGCAATCTTTGGAGAACCCATGACCCGAACACTAGCCTCCCCATTCCAAAGTTCACACACCTAGTGTGAGGTAGAGGACATGAGCTCCACCTCTGCGACTGCCTTACTCTCCCTAGCCCTTCCGACAACTGCCTTAAGCCAGTTTGGCCCGCCGACTCGTACTGCGCTTGTTATTGCCGTTATAATGCCCAAAGGAGCCATGACGAATATCACATCCTCCAGCCAAGTCAACGAGTGGGACAAGAATTGTTTAGTAACTTGCTCTCCGAAGAGGGCTAGTAGTGGGGCTAGGTCGGAGAACAAATTGTTTGGGAAGTCGGTGCCATCTGTCCCTAGTGTTTGGGGTGTTAACACTAGGAAAATAACGGTCGGGGCTAGAAGTGTTGACATGGTTGAACCCATGATTCCCTGGTATTACGCTCCTGCGATGATTGGCGTTCTAGACCTTAGCATTAGTCTCTAATCCCATTTGAGGGGATATGAGAACTACCTGTTTGGATGTTGGATTTTCAATATTCTCAAGAAAAGCAATGAAGCTGATGGAGACCAAAAGACTCGGAGAGAATGAGCAAACGAGTAACTTCTGAGGCCTTTTGAAGTGTTATTATGTGAGTGTCCATATTTTCAGATGCTCATTGCCGGATTCAACTATCTTTCCCAGCGGGGAGGTGCCAGATTTGCTTTCCACCACCCACGATACGGGTACGCCGACCGGACCCTCATTTCACTTTGATGTTTGAGATGCCGTAATACAACAAGGTATAAACTCGCCAAACACACTATATAGCCAAGGCGGGAATACACGGTGCCACAAGCTCAGTAGTATCTTTTCTCCGGCCTACCATGTCAGCATAGCCTCCATGGGGCGCCGTGGGGGTTACTTATTAGAATGGGACGGCAGGCCCCTACCGATATTACATACACAAGGCCTCTCGGTTGCATAGCGGGTTTTGTAAATTCAAAATATTATGGTATCTCCTGGATTCCTGAACGAGGACATAAAGTTGTGTGGCCTGTCCTACTATCTGAGAGGGGGGTAACCAAGGTAAGCCCCCTTTGGATTCTTCAGTCATGATAGACGAAGATACGATCATATATCACGCTGGTATTAGCAATGGTCTGAAGTTTGCACATCCGCGAATTTGTCGCAAGATTTACTTCCTCACTTGTGTCTTAGATAGTGACAGGAGCTGCCCAACCATTTCCCGGCCGAGGCGGCGGGTGCCGTAGATATTTCCCTTCACTGAATGTCCTCTGCCGATCGAGGCTGAAGAACCCCTTGTTCATACTTGCAGGGTGGGGCCTCTATCTCGTTGCTCCGAATCCGGCATGAAGTGCCTGAAAATGAGACACCGACTTTTTGTTTTGTTGCTAGTAGAGTGGTTATGTAACACAAGCAGTATTTTCAGATACTTTATTGCCGGGTGCAAGTATGGTGCCTAGCTAATAGTGTTAGTGTTTCGTTAGGTCCTCGGAAGCATGCGCAGCGGTGGTACCGCTCTGATAGCAGCAAGGTCTCCCAAAGTCGGAACTTTGTGAGGAAAAGGCCCTTGCGCTACGATTGGGGATCTTGTGGTGTATAGCACAATGTGAAATTTCCTGAAATTGTTCCAAATCTTATAAGCACAATTCAGTACCGGTATTGAGTGCTGATGGGTGATGGTCCTTAGTGTAGTGTGGAGTATTGGAGATGAGGGTTTGGATGCCTGGAGGGCTTGAGGTTAGAGTGAGTAGTAGCATGTTGTCTGGTGCCTTGTATTTAGCTTGCGGGTTCACACCTGGGAAGGGTAACGAAGTTGCTTTCTCCTCGACTACCGGCGTCTGTATGTTGGACCACCGTTCCCACTACGCAACACATAGGTATGTTTGATAGACCTCTTATGCATCCAAGCATGATTCATAATGCAGGTCATATTACACGCGGGGTAGACAGAACTTTACGAATACCTGGATCTTATTTGCTGAAGATAATAAATGATAATCGGAATATGGCTATTCTGAAATGGGACATGTGGATGGCCTACAGGTATGTTTAGGAAAACAGTGTCGGTGTCTTTAGCGACATAGTATTAGTATTATCCCATCCTTGCGGACCCATTTTTGCCAGTGATGGATCCTTATTCAATTCTTCCGGATTTGGCCTCCTACCAACGAACTTGAGGGGCGCCGCAAGGAAGTCGAAATATTACGCGTATTTATCATAATAAGTACTACCGGTATGTATGCGACACTCACTTCTATACGAGAGCCATCGAGGGAGTAACTGGAAGCAAGGGCGGATGTTGGTATCGGCTGATGGGAGAAGGACATATATATATATCTATATGTGTATATGGTATGAGAACGAAGAATAGCTACGGGATCATTATGGAGACTTTGGGGGAAGGCCAAAGACATCTAGGGAATAGGAAAGAGTAATGAAGCGTAGGAAAGCCACCACGATCCTAGATTTTCATAAAAATTTTAGCAATCCTAGTGTGAATCCATATTCCTAACCAGTTTTCACGATTGTATTAGCCAATCCCATTCACCATATCCCATGTCTGAGCCGCCCATATCGGGCAGGTATATGAGTTTGCTTGTTCTATGGGCTATTGAGATAGAGAACGCCGAGTCATGATACTACCCACAGCACTGGCGCGTTCGGGAAAGGGTCAAAGATACTAGAAAATCACACTTACTAGGAGATGAAAGGTGATAGAAAATGAGTAAATTAGGGTGGTTTATGAGGAGTTGGACGTGAGCCCCCAAGCCCACAACAGCCTTGCGATATCACTCGCGGTGAATCCTTCAACAGCTCAGTGTATGGATCTAAATTGAACTTCCTCACTTCAAGTCGACACACTCAAGAGGTTCTTCCTCATTTGTTTGTTCTGGTCCACTTTTATATCAAACTAACTGCCTATGCGCCTGAGTTTTCCTTCTGACACCAGGTGCGGGAGCTCCAGTTCCCCATCCATCCCGTGAGATGCCCGCTCTGTTCTATATTTTGAGTTTAGAGGTCGGTGGGACAGGGTAACTTTTTGATGTAGTCCAGAGCTCCATGGGGTACCAGCCTTGGTGTCGGTAGGTGCCCAGAGTGATGTCTGGTTCCACTGAGGGGGAGAAAGTCTAGAAATGCTTGAAAACTATGCTGGACAAGTCTTATTCCATCCACTTGAATCCTACTCGGTCCTATCACAGTCTCTCACTCGACCAGCACCAGCATTGGGATTATGGAAAATTCTCTCCAATATTCGGCGCTAATTATGGGTAGGTAGTATATCATAATGGAGCTTACTCATGTTGTGATTTGACCATCCTATCCACTTTTCCTTGCCTTTTGAGCTCGAACCTCTTAGGGCCTCTGTCAATAACCCAGTGTTAAAATGAAAAGATCAGGTTTGCGCTTTAGGAATGAGTATAGGAAAGTTAGGAAAGGTAAAGTCTTAACCCTTTTCCCCATGTTCTTCTCATTAATTTAGCGTAAAGACAGGAGTAAATATGAAACATGGCAAAATCACCCAGCCCCTCCATGAATTACCACTCATGTATTTATTCCTCTGTAAATGTTCTCATTCCTCCCCATGCACCCATGATAACAAAGGAAAAAAATGTTTAGAGAACCTTCTACCCCAACCACAACAGCTCTAGGACAACCCACCGCACTCCCGAATCTTCCACGATCAACTACAATGCACTAGCTGCCGCCAGCCACTCTCACATAACAGGCCCAACAGGCTCCCCGGGCTAGTCCAAATCATGATTCGCTAGGCTAGATCAGGTCAAGCGGGTTGAATCTAGACCTGGATTGGGTTAATTACTGGAAGGCATGGGGGGCAGTTTATCAGCGGTAACAAAAGGTGTGATTATGAGCGCATAAGCATCCTGGATGTTACTGGCTAGCTTCGACTCCGTGATCGTTTCGGCCAGCTTTTGGAAAAAAGGGTTTTCAAGCCTAGAATCGAGCCCTTCGCCAGCCGTGGTTTCATGATCTCGGAATCGAGTCTTGCCATCAATCGAGCGGACAGTGTCGGCAATTGCCCACAAGAACGATGATAGTATCTCCTGAGCAAATATCTGTCTGAGCGGGGTCATAGATAAGAAGGCGAATGATTCTCGGCATCCGTCGTGGTCAATTGGCTTGGTCCCCACGATGTGATGGGGGGTAATATGTTGCCTCGAGCTCTTGGCAGTGCAGTGGCCCACACGTACAAGCACCTTGGGGAACTCGTTCACTTCAACGGTTGTCGGTCCTCCGATTGGGTTCTCCTCCAATCCACCATTTTCCACTACCTCAAACCTTCCCCCGATATCCATCCACCGCCGGCATTCATTCATGAATCTGTTAGTTGCTGGTCCAAGCACTCGCAAAACTGTCGGAACTTCACCCCCATGGTGCCAAAATAGCCCAGTGGTATCTGGAGTGTCCATCAAAGCCAGCCCTCTTTCCTTCATTCTGTAACACCAGAGAGAGACCACGGCGCAAAGCTCGAATTCATCCACACTCCATTGGCCCGGGTATTCCGCGTTGTCAATGGACCTCCTAGCAGTCATAGTTATGTACTTCACCAGACCCCCAACTTTGACTGGCAGTGCCCAATGAAAAGTTTCTGAAGTTGGGAAGTCGTCGCTGCGAGTTATATCCTTCAAGTTTGTGAAATCGTTCAGCAAAGACCGAAGGCAGGAGATCAGCTCCCGCGCAAAGCGATCAGAGATCCCTTCCCATTCCGTGAGACGCCCGAGTCCCGCTCGCACGCTAAGGATCTTTTTTGCGTCGTTCGCGGCCCCAAGATGTTCCTCGTGAGCAGCCCTATATCCGAGATATCCATGAAGAGTCATCACATCCCAGCTAAGATTGTCGTCCTGATCACTCTCTGAGCCATTTTGTTCGAACTGAGGTTCTCTCGGCCCCCATAAATTTTCTCCAGGCATCCCAAACCTCACTGCGAGCCAGTCGATCTCATAACCAACCGGTAGTATCATGGCTCGAGGGCGCGCAGACATATTTCGGCGAATCCAGGTTCTCGCAACAGTCATTGCCAATGTTACAACCAACTGTGAGATGGAGGCTGACCAGTGCAGAGCACGAATTCCGACAAACTGGATGACAAAACCAGCGATACCGACGAAAGATCCAACCATAGCCAGATTACTAAGTGAGAAAGTGGTATGAAAGGCATACTCGATAAGGCCTGGGGCCTGCAAGGAAGATGTGTAGGCTTTAGGTCGAGATGTGATATGTTTCTTGCGTTCCCTATGTCCGAATAGCGCGTATGACCCGAAGTGTTGGTCATTGACCCGTCCACTCTTTTGCAACCACACAATCCTAAAGTCGCTCTCAGCCACCCACTTTCTCTCTTTGGATGAGGCCTGCACTACGTGCGAGCATGCCATCATCCCTGCAACTAACAACAGAGTCCCGAATGCCATAAGGGGGTAAGCGAATTCCGAATTTTCGTCCTCCTTCAAATTTACTTTTTTGTGATAGCGGGTAACTCCAATAAAGATCAAGGAACCGAACTGCAGCACAATTCCCAGGATAGCAAATAGCCATAGCTCTCCCCTCTTCTTGGCTTCACGGAAGTTCAGGGATATGTTTGGGGAACTAGCCAAGGCGGGATCTTCTGGTGGGCCATGCTGGAACCATCCCTCGAGCCTGCGTCTTAATCCAGAAATGGGGTTTTCAGCACCCGCACCCGCCGGAACAAAATGTGCCAAGAGGCCCCCGGAGGATATTTTTAAAACAGTCCTGTCGAGCAGGCTCACTATCCCATCTGCTGCCCCCCCAAGGAATGCCTTTCTCGTGTATGCGGCCCCCACCATTTGGGTCCAGTTCCCCCCCCAACCCCCTTTCGCTCCTCTCAACTTCTTATCTTTTATAGCCGTCTTGAGTGTGAATAGCTTAGATGCATCCACTCCCCCACCCGCCTCACCTTCGAAATAGAGAATCTCAGCGACCTTTGGAGAGCCCATGACCCGAACAAGAGCCTTCCCGCCCCAAAGCTCACATACCTCATGAGAGGTAGAGGACATGAGCTCCACCTCTGCGACTGCTCTGCTCTCCCTGGCCCTTCCGACAACTGCCTTAAGCCAGTTTGGCCCGCCGACTCGTACTGCGCTTGTTATTGCCGTTATAATGCCCAATGGAGCCATGGCGAATATCACATCCTCCAGCCAGGTAAAAGATTGGGACATGAACTGTTTGGCAACTTGATCCCCGAAGAGGGTCAACAGTGGGGCTAGGTCGGAGAACAAATTGTTTGAAAAGTCGGCAGCATCTGCCGCTAGTGCTTGGGGTGTTAACACTAGGAAAATTGCGGTGGAAGCTAGAAGTGTTCACATGGTCAAACCCATGGTTCGTAGGTATTAAGCTCGCTTGGTTTCTGGGGGTTATTGGAGTGCTACCCTGCCATTCTCATATCAGTCTCCGGTTCGATTTGAAAGGGTATGGGCACTATGATACCTATTTCAAAAAGTTCGATTTTCTGTATTCCTAGCAATGAAACTAGGGGCACCGATAGAGACTAAAATATTCAGAGAACAAGGAGAAAAAAACAGTAACTACTGAGGACTTTTATAACGCTATTTCGGGAATTCACAGGGGGTAAAAACTACTATAAGAGTTCTAAGAGGATGCAATCCCCGCCCGCAGGTGAGCCACGCTCCCCCGAATTAAATATTTACTTTCCAGAATTTGGGGCATTTAAAGTTGCACCAGGCCACACGCATACAAGAATCTCTTCAACGAGGGGTGTCTTTCCACTGAATGAGCATCTAGAGCAGCCGATCTCAGGTGCCCAAGAGGGTCGCGACACCGCAGTTATCTACCTCGATTAGATCGGAACTGCACTTCAAGTGAGGCCCGTTTCATAGCTGGTATATCACCTAGAGTCTTTGTATCTGATCGAGGGGGTTGGGGATCGATTCCGATGTATCCTGCAAAAGCTGGAATAACTGGTACTGAGACTGCGATGTCCAGAACGTTCTCCTTTGGAGTGAATGCAGAAAACACGGAGAAAAGATTCTCTTTCAGCCCTTAGTTGGGACAAATAAGAGGGGGAATAAATCAGGCCATGCTCGGAGGGCAAATCCAACTGCCGAGCGAGGCTCTCGATCTTTGCGGTCTCTGGGGTATGGGGAATCACTGCAGGGAGTTGTGATGGAACACATTGCGAGAGCCCTGCGGGGTGGGGGCACGGTTGCCTGCGACCTAATCTTGCTGGAAAGAACACGTTGACTCGAGGATGGTAGGAAGAGGACTGAGGGGGTATTTGACATACGGACGTACAGCCATTTACGTCCTCGTTTACTAGAGCAGGTCAGGTGCTAGTGTGGAAGTGTCTCTGTTTACTTCCGGGATTGGATGGTGTGATTGACCGAGCTGGCACCTGTGCAAAAGAGTTAACGGTAACGACGTGATATGCTATCTGAAACGGAACTTGAATTATGCAGAAGAAGTTGATAGTAAAACATAGGAAAGAAGAGGGGTGGGAAAGGTGGAAAATAGAACTCAGATTTGACAGAAAATAAGTGGTGTTGTTGCTCGTACGGGTGTGTTGTTTTGCGTCTTCATTCGCCCTCTCCCACGGAGGAAGGCAAAGTCATCCCTCTAGGTGAAAATTTCCCACCTGCCGAGCCCCGCCCAAGCGGAACATTCTATGGGTTAAACCCCCGCAAAACATTACCATAAAACCTCGGAACCTACTTACCCCCACATTGAGTGCGGTGACGAGCTGTCTGTAATTCACACTTACTGTATGATACTCTACTAGCATTCGAGTACAATTGGTGATGAAGTCGTGCGCAGGGCTGAAATCATAACAACAATATCCGGGTTAAAACTTCACAGCAAGAAATATGAGTTCCGCTGCTCTCAAATTAGTGGCGGGGTAGAGGAGACATTGCGTGAGTGCCATCGATCCCAATCTCCAAGCACTTGATATAGTAACCTGTTGGTGTATTTACTGGACACTCAAGACATTGAAAATTTCACAGACTTCCTTATCCAAGTTTAAGGCAAGGTCGAGGAAGTGCTTGTCACCCTCGGTTGAGAACTAAGGCTTCAAAAAATGAGCAGATTTCAGAGCACAACCAATACCCGCATTTTCCTAGGTAAATCGGAGACCTTGCCAGCACTTACAAGCAAGCGATCATTAAAAAAGAGAGCAAGTGATTTTCCATGACTCAACACAATTCCGTTTTACTAGCCTTGCAGACAGCTCACGTACTTCCTACTTCTACACTTGTCATTTAACCCGCTATCGCAAACGTGGAATTCCCTTGCGCCCGGACACCCCTTCACTCTAACTATCAAGCGGGGACAGGAAGCCCTCTTGAGCAGACCCGATAACAAATGCTAAAACCGAAGAGATCAGTGGATGATCCCCCTATAGGAAACCAACCAACCAGGTCCTGCCCGAGCGGGAGGGTCCGGATGCCCCGCACACCCGCAGTACAGGCACCTTACCAACACCCCCCACAGTGCTATGATGTCTGGGTTGCCCCCCAAAAATATGGTCTGACACGCCAAACACACTATGCAGCCAAAGTTGTAGTATGTTTACACGGTACCACAAGCACTCGAGCACTCGAGCACACCTAATCTGAGCAGTGCTTCCAGTCGTCCAGTCCGTCCAAGACGGGGTGAGGACGCCAAGGGACGGAAATGTCTCGTCTTCGGACGGACTGGACTGCCTTGGCGTCGTCCTAGACGGGGTTGACTGCAGTCGACTGTAGTCGACTGAAGTCAATCTGTGCACTGTCTGATAAAGGAAGCCCTACTATATTGAGTAAAGATAAATCGTATATTATAGGAAAGTTATCCTGCCCCTGAACCTTCACTGAAACGACTGAACTAAGAAAACATATATTTCGAAATAATAGAAAACAAATACTATATAACTATTACCCTAAAAAAATTAAAAAAATATATAATTATTGCCATCAAGTGCTTGTAAAGTGAAGGGCCTGTTTGGTAATGACCATTCCGTTCCATTCATACATACAAAATAGCTGTTCATGAATGGAACCATAAGGCAATTTGTATGAGTGAATGGAATGGAACGGTTATTGTCAAACAGGCCCTTATAAGAAATATAAAGTAAAAATATAGTAGAAAAGAATAATAAAAAGTAAATTTTTTCAACCAAGAATTTTAGACACACGAGTTTCCTGCTCACAATTTTGAAGAACTTCAGTTATTTCAGCTGCAGTATCAAAAGAAATAAGATTTCCATGAGCCCATGATCGTAAATACTCTGTTGCCTCAATAGTTGAACTATCAATAGAGTTTCTCCGATTGGTGATTGAAATCTTTGCACTAAAGTATTAGTAGCAAAGTATATCTATTAGCAATACTTTTTAAAATATTTTATAATAAGAAATAAACTTTAAATATTAATATTACTAATAAGCTACAAACCTGCTAAAAATCCGTTCACATTCAGCTGACATTGCCAGAACTGAAAGAGTATGAAGTGCCATTTTTGAAAGCTTCAGGTAAAGTGATCATACCATTGACCACCAGTTGACCAAATGAGAAGGATCAATCGGTGGTTCTCCATCATTATGTAACGACCCTACATTATAGAGTTATGGTAACCTATGTCTACGCCCATACATAAGACCATGAGGTCGGATGGTAGACTAAGGAGGCTATAACGGACAAGGTCCGAGGGTCGTGTAGCCCAAGGAACACCACGATCAGGACAGGCAGGGTTCGGGAGACGAGGTCTAGGCGTGGCGGTACAACCGAGGCGAGTTGTACGAGGTTTGGGGTTCAGGGGTTCAGGGTCAGGGTTCAGAGGTTCAGGAGGACACGAAGTAGAAGAGAGTGTAATTCCTAGGTACAGGTGTTCGAAGGAGATTACCAGACTGCGTGAAGAACACAAAATATGAGGGGGCATACCCCCTTATATAGATAGGAAATCCTCCATGATCACTAATACAAAAGAAAACTCTTGGCATGGCGCGTAGCCGCGATCCTTCTGTCAGGTTCCACCAGTCTCTGTCGCGCGGCAACCTATCCCAATCATAAAACAAAGGAAGTCCTACTATGCAACCAAGGGAACCACAACCAATATATGCAACCAAAATATCCAATGTCCCTTTCCTATGTCGGGCCAGGTGGCCGTGACAGAGGCATGCACGCGCATGTCAGAGGGATATCCGATGGTCTGGGTATCCTAGAAAACAGAAGATACTCAAGGAATAGGTGTACCTAAGTAGCGGAAGTAATGTGACTATGTCCGCTCCGGCCTAAGGTTAGGTCGGAAGGCCAGGTGAGTTCACCCTGTCTAGGAGAGTCACGTTACCCTACCATGGAGACCAGTTTCATGTCACCATGGACATACTTACCCTACCTTTGGGACACTATTACCCTACCTTCCGTCGGAAATGTTCTCGGAGGAATTCTGGGAAATGTTAGGATTGTTTGTTATGCAATGAGAATGGACAAGCACTTGGTTGCACATTGATCGGAAGGCTACGGGAGGAGCTATAGTGCTCCGAACAAGCTGTAACTTTGCAGAATAGTTCCAAACAGGTACCTGCGGCCCCAGGGTGTGCCCCGGGCGTCATGGGCCAAAATGGTCACAGTTGTTGTCTTACTAGTTAAATGGAATCTTTGAAGACATGTCCATAACACTGTATACGTCGCTGCCGTCCATCCAACTGGAAGCTGTTCGCAGGATATATAAGGGGGCCAAGGTGAGAAGGTCAGGTACCTTCTCCAACAGGAACGGAGTAAAACAGACCAAAACTGACGGAGTTACCGTGAGCTATCCGGAAGGGTCCCCAGAGTAGTCCCGGGTAGTGCCGGAGACATCTGGGAAGGTTTTACGCCAATCAAGCCTACACGTGCCCCTTTGCTGTAGACTCTTTGTGGGTTGTTTGAAGACTCTAATAGCATGACACTTATCACGGTAAGTGGTGTGCCGGGGGTAAGGGACCATGGGTAGTGCCCATGGGTCCCGCCGCCGCCGCAACTCTCTGTGGGAGCATCGTAGACCCTTTAAGTTCGTAGTTAAAATAGATAGAGCTTAGCTGGAAGACAGCTGATGTCTGCGAGTGCTTGCATAGGTCATAGCACATGGGAATAGGAGTTACTTGGTTAGCTCTCCCAGGGTGTCTCGACAGTTAGCCACTGATGAGACTCCGATGCGCAGAGGTTTTTACTCTGGCAGGTGTATTGGTGAGCACCTTGCAGGAACTGAGGCGCATGAGGGAGATTTCTGCTAGAGTGCGCTGACACTTGGGCTCTTCGGAGACACGGTGATAGTGTCAGGCAGCCCTTACGGAGAAAGGGTATACTCGTGTTGGTCGAGGTAACCTGATGGGGGAGTTTTTGGTATAAGTCTGACTACTTAAAAATTATACGAAAACTCTCCTACCCCGACACAATCAACATCCTCTCGAGAGACTTTAATTGAGATAAGCCTGAGCTTAACAATATTAAGTTTTACCGTTACTTTTATTCTTTACAATATTGCAAGAGCTTTTGTTCGAGAGACTCGAAGTTTGGTGCGGTCGCATCCTTGGGATCCATCTTCCTGAGGGAGCCCCCGTTACACATTATTATTCATCCATTTCAAGTACAGATCCAACTCATCAAGACCATCAAAACCTGCCTGACTTAGGCGAACCTTTTTGAAACTTCGTTCAGAATTTGTTATAGTTGACTTTTATGGTGAAGGAAATGGTGTACTTAGAGGTGCAATTGAAAGTGGTTTGTAATTTTCCTGCCACAAGTGACGGACTAGTCGTAAACCTTCATCCACCCAATCACTTCGGTTACCCCATCCATACTCAACAGACTCAAAAAAACCATCCATATTTGGATTTAAAATGATGGATGCACAAATAATAGGTGAAAGTGTGTTGATAGAGTAGTATTTATTTAGCTTGTCCCAAGCAAGGTTTAAGAATTGATGAAAATAGGATAAGGGATCTGGAAATTGTGAATAAAAGGATAGAATATGGTTTCTGATAACCTCCAATGAAGGATAAATATCATAGAGAGCGCCTTGCTTGCAATGACCCTCTAACACAAGTGTTTCATCTCGAAAAGGTGCAAGAAACTCTAAAACACTTTCTAAACTTGAAAACACCCAGTCATCTAAAGAAAGCTGATCCTTAGATGAAGATGAACATGGATCATCATGAAGAATGCATTGAATATGAAAATTGATTGCTTCTTTAAAACAAACAGCTCATTTTAAAGCATCGTGATCATCAGTCCATCGAGTAATGTTCCCTAAAATAAGTTCGGTTGCTTTTATTGTATTGCCATACATTGTATGTACAACCTGAGTAGGTGATTCGCGGCGCTGTGGACTGTTTCGAATCCATACAATAATGTTGCGCAATTTTCCTAGTGGTCCAATCTTTCTCCAGACTTCTGAATCCCGATTCTCTTTCTCAATTGTATGATGCTCATTTTGATTTGAAGCTAGTTGTATTGATTTCTTCCCATATAAGAAGACCTTAACAACTAAATTCAAAACATGACCATAGCATCTTATATATCGTTGAGCAGTATTAAACTGAATGCTATCTGGAACAAGTGCACTATATCCCCCAGAGAGAAAATGTAGTGCGGTTAGATTATTTGATGCATTATCCAAGCAGAAATAACCTAAGTAGTCTTGGAGTCCATAGTCCAATATCAATTGCCACAGTAGCTGTCCTTGATTTTCCCCAGTATGAGAACCAAGAAGTCGTGGGAGACCTAAAAGTGCATGTTGGATACAACCAGACTCATCAACCCAAAATGCAATAACAGCAAGGAGTGCAAGATAGTTCGAAGAGGTCCAAAGATCAAAACTAAGATGGATAGAAGAAATTGCATTACTGTATAATAATGATCGAATATGGGTCTTATTTTGATGAAATGAATCCAAAAGCCAAGTACTAATTGTGGAAGCTGAGGTTGGCATTGCATCGGATAGGTCGGTAAAGGAAGCAGGAACGGCGTCAAGGTAGGTGAATATTGTATGTAAGGA